GGGAGCACTCTGCAGCCACCCACTGCACCCACAAAGAGCCTGGAGCTTGGGTATGGGCTGGGGCAAGGCTCAGGCTCAGCCTGGCAGGAGGAACAGGCAGCAGTGCTGATCCATACATGCACAGAGGGGCTGGGGTAGAGCCAGGTGCCACCCACAGACCCACCCAGTACCAGCCTGCACCCTCCCAGCCATCCCTGCCCACCCCACACTCCATAAAGCATCCCAAGCATCGGAGAAGCCTCAGGTTTTGCTCCTTTTTATTAGACAAAAATAACTTCAACACAATCAGTGCAAAAGAGAATGACAAGTTTCACTGGAAGTGCTAAATAAATTAAGATCACCTCGGCAGAAGCTTCAATAAAAGAGCTCAAGACTGTGATAAATACTCTGCCAAATTCTCAGACAATAAAGAAACAGAAATGTGTCTTGGAGGTACCCAGGAGAGCAGATCCTGGAGTGGAGATGCTTGGAGGGAGCAGTTGCTCATCCACTGATAGTCTTATCCTCCAAGTCACTCAAGATGTCCTGGACCCACTTGTCATCACGTCTGCCACAGACCAGTCTGCCCTTCACGGTGGTAAATCTAGAGAAGAAAATCCAGTGAGGAGAGGGAGAGGGAGAAGGAGAAGGAGAGGGAAAGGGAGAGGGAAAGGGAAAGGGAAAAGGAGAGGGAGAAAGAAAGGGAGGGAGGGGGAAACGGAGAGGGAGGAGAGGGAGAGAGAAAGGGAGAGAGAAGGAAAGGGAGAGGGAAAGGGGTCACCAGCTCCATGCCCCCAGTGAACCCCACCAAACTAGACACCTCTATAGCTGCAGAGCAGCCCCAGGGAAATGGAATAGGAGGTGGCTTAATGTCCTTACAGATGTCCAGCTCTCTGCCACTTAAGCCACTTTGTCCCCATCTTGTCTACAGCTAGGACACTGTCCTGCCAGGATCCCACTCTCTGGGAATGAGAGAGGTGACCAGCATAAGCTCTTTTGGCTCAAATCTAATAGGGAGTTCCAGAAACTGACTGCTGGGATGCGGGATTGCCCTCAGATGATCCCCAGGCTGTTCTCACATGGGAGAGCCCTCCTTGGAGCTTTTCCTTGCCAGCATGGGGTGTGATGTGGGGTTCCCTGGCACTGCCAGGAGGAGCAGGGTTCCCAGGAGCAGGGCAGGAGAGGTACTCACATCACAGCTGGCTGGCTGCAGAGGTGGCTTGTGTGCTCATACACTGCCACACGGCTCTTGGGCAATGGTGTGGTGATGAACTGGACACAGCAGTGACCAGGAATGTTGACAGAAACTGGAAGAGAAATTAAGTTTTCTGATTACACCAGCCCAGGAGAAGTGCCAGTAGGGGACAAGTAGGATCAGAAGGCCAGAAGTTCCCCACTGGAGGAAGAGGTGCTCCCACCACAACCATCCTCCCCTCAAGAAGCCAAGGCAGGCCATGCCTGTTCTGTCCTGCAGCAGATGCTGGGAAGAGAGAGCTGCCAAGCATTACTAGACTTTATATAGCAGAAAGAAAGAGGAGAGAACTCCTTGGAGAGGAGAGCTTGGACTTACATGGAGAAGAGGAGACCTGGTAGCAGAGAACAGCCACAAAGAGCACAGCAAGGGCTGCTGTGAAGGTCTTCATGCTCCTGTTGGGTGGAGATGGAGTCAGATGGAATTAGGAGTCAGGCTGGACTGCTGCAGAGTGCACCTGGTGTGGGAGCTCTGGGTTCAGCCTGCTTTATAGAGAGATTGCAAGTAAGGGCAGGAACATCATGGAAATGTTACTGAAAGCCATGACACCATGGAAAAAGTGCTGTGTCAAGGGTGCTGCGTGGTCCTGGGGAGGGAACTGCCCAGAGCCCAGAGACAGCACTGCATGTGGCATCTTATAGATAGTACAACACTATGGAAGGCCAGAGAACAGGATATGACCTCTCTTTTCCTTTCCCCTGACCACAGGACACTGTAGAGAACTCAGAGGTAATGATTCAGAAGCTCAGCAGGTGCACCTCTTGCCTAGAGATCATATCAGTGGATGGAGAAAGACTGTGGCTGCCACACATTTGTGGTTCTTACATGTGCATCACAGACAAATGGGACATTTCACCTCTGCCACAGGGACTGGAGCAGGGAGAGTCCATGAGTTGTGGACACAGCTGTGCTGGGCTCACTTGCAGCACTGCCTTGAGGTGAGAGGAGTTTCTTCTGTGAGACCCTGGAGGCCACCAGTGTGTCAATGTAAAGAGGGTGGACTCTGGTACCATCTCAGGTCTGGGCTCCTCTTCTGTCTTTGACCATCCCTTGCAGCCTACACCTCACTTGTCTTGCTTTTCCTTGCCTACCCATCCCTCGCCTTGCCTTCCAACCCCTCCCTGCCTTGCCCCATCTTCATCCAAGGACCAGAATAAAACTGAAGGAGCAAAAAACTGGAGGAGAACAGGCTGTGGAATGTGCTGGATCCTCCTCTCTGATGTGGCTCACCCCAACACAGCCCAGCTCAAAGCAGCTTCTAGCTGAGTGTTTTGGATGTTCTTGCAACAGTCAACTCCAGGTTTGATGGAGGTGTCAAGATTTGTTGTGAAAAATGAATATTTTCTGTCAGGAATAGAAATGTTCATTGATGCTTTCAATGAATTCTCCCTCCCTTCCCATGCAGCAAACTGTTTCTGCTTCCATTCATCCAAAAGGAATTGTTGGATGTTTTGACATGTTTGTTATTCCCCCAATTCACTGTTTGCCTCAACTCTGTTCTTTCCTTGAAGGAAGATTTGGTATTTTTCAGCCTTGGCTGCTCCTTCCTGCCAAGACAAATAATGCAAATCTCTAAATATTTTGATTTCTACAACCTCCTCCATATCATCCATCCCAAATAGTGGCTATTTCTAGAGCCTGCCAGACCTCTGCCTTATGGTGTGTTGCAGCTATTCATAGAAACCACACATGGTATCTTTGGATCCATCACCAGGACAGTGTTGGGATGCAGGAAGAAGCCTCTGCTGAGCCCTCAAGGCAGCCTGGTCCATCACACCTCCTCTCAGGCTGGAGGCATGGCTGGAGGATCACATTATCACAGTGTGCTGCTGGAACAGCTGGATCACCAATGTGGCAAACTGGGCTTAACTGGGAGCTGGAAAAAGAAAGGGAATGACTGGGGCAAGTCAGAGATCACAAGGCAGTGAAGCTCCAAGAAGATCTCAGATGAGAAGATGCATTTTTGAGAAGAATTGAGACTTTCCACATGGGAATTGAAGTCTGGAAGATGACGAGTGGCCTAGAAAGAGGGACAAAGAGAGAACAGTCACTGCCTCTCCCAGAGCAACCATGGACCATCCATTGGAGCTGGCAAGAGCCAGGTTCAAAAGGAACAGGAGAAGCAGCTCTTCACACAAGGACATGGTGATCACAAGGAAATTGCACAGAATCATGGGATATTTGGAGTTGGAAGGGATCCACAGGAAGATGACGAGTGGCCTAGAAAGAGGGACAAAGAGAGAACAGTCACTGCCTCTCCCAGAGCAACCATGGACCATCCATTGGAGCTGGCAAGAGCCAGGTTCAAAAGGAACAGGAGAAGCAGCTCTTCACACAAGGACATGGTGATCACAAGGAAATTGCACAGAATCATGGGATATTTGGAGTTGGAAGGGATCCACAAGTTGGAAGGATCATCAGTCCAACTCCTGCACAGGACAGGACATCCCAACAATCCACCCTGTGCCTGAGAGCATTGGCCAAACACTCCTTGAGCTCTGTCAGGCTTGGAGCCATGACAACTGCCCTGGAGAGCTGTTCCAGTGCCCAAACACCCTCTGGGGGAAGACCCTCTCCAACATGGATTGGCTTTCAGAGTGAGAAGATTTGGGCAATGAGAATATTTGGGGACTGAGAGTGCACTCCAGGGTAGCAGCACTAATGTTGGCCTTTCTCTTCATGGTCTCTGCTGTGGCCACATCTGGAGCTATTAAGGCTGGTCTAGATGGAGTCTAGATCCTCAGGGGCTGTTCATCTGATTCCCCAGGACAACTGATCCTACAAGACCATAAGGGCTACAGAGGAGCTTGTGAAATGGGATTGAAATCCCTGGAATTTATACCTCAGGATTTGCCTCCAGATGAGTATTTCTGGTATATATCAGCAGAAAGACAAACCAACAGTTTCTAAGCACACAGAGAGGCACAAATACATTGGTGCAGCTCACACCATTTCCCAAGACAGATTTGGGACACCTAAGAAAGCCTCAGTGTGGGACCAAGAGCCTGAGGAGCAGGAGGTAGGTGGCTGGAATGTCAGGATACGGTTCTCACACTAATTTGATGGTAATTCCCAGGACAACACAGGCTGCATGTGCCAAATCACACCAAGTGATGCCTCTGCTCTGGAGAGCAGGAAAAGCTCTCAGGAAAAGCTGAGCAGGGTGTGCCCGGCACCGACAGGACAGCACCACTGGTTTAGCTCTGAAGATAAAGCCATTTGGGGTTGGGGTTGGGTCAGGCAGGACCTGAGGCTGCTGAGCTCCGGCGTTCCAGGGGATGTTGTCCTTGCAGACTCTGCCTCCTGTTGTCAGCTGGAGGTACAGGACACGTCTACATGTCAGGTTGTGGGGCTGCAGCAGTCTCGAAGACAATGTTCCATGAGAGCTCTGGTAGACATTGGGTCATGGAAATCACAGAAATCATGGAATCATGAAGGCTGGAAAAGAGCTCTGAGATCATCAAGCCCACCCTGTGACCAAGTACCTTCATGGACACTAAACCCTAACACAAAGTGCCACATCTACTTGGTTTTTGAACACCTCCAGGGATGGTGACTCCACCACTGCCCTGGGCAGCTGTGGCGGGGCTTGGCCACCCTTTCGATGAAGAAATTTTCCCTAATAATCCAATTTAAACCTCCCCTGGAGCAACTTGAGGCTGTTTCCTCTGGTCCTGTCCCTTATTCCCTGGGAGCAGAGCCTGATCCCACCTGGCTGCACCTCCTCTCAGGGAGTTGGAGAGAGTGAGAAGGTTTCCCATATCCTTAAGGAACAGAGTAGCTCTCCAGAGGCACAGCCCATGCCCTCCTGTGCCTCATGCCCTCCTCACATTGTTCTGCAGCAAGCACAGGGTCCCTGCACCCAACCTTGCCCGGAAACCCTTTCCTTGGTGACCCCACTCTGGCAGCCAAATGCTCTATCACAATACAGAAGCAAAGTAACTTTGCCATGTCCTGCCTTGGAAGAGACCTGGGCTCGATGGGATGCTCCAGCTGAACCGGCTGCTTGTGCTAAGGGGAAGCTTCTCCAGCAGATGGCAAACACTTCCCACCTCCAGGCCCTGCTCCCGAGCCAGTTTCTCACCTAGGCAGCACTTCTGCAGCCCAAACTCTGGAATTTGGGTCTTCTACTGCAGATCCAACTGGAAACTACTCAGGTCTGCTTCTGAATTCTTGGACACAGAGGCTTCAGTACAGAAAACACATCAGGAGATGTTTTGGGGTTAAAATCATCCTTACAACAATTGGGCAAGAAGGAGACCTCACCCAGGACAGAGCTGAGGGCCCCATGGACACGAATCCTCTCCAAGCCTCTCTCCCAGTCTCAGGCTACTCCTCCTGCTTCTGTGAATGCTGCCCCTACTGCACCAGGGTTGTTTCTGCTCCTTGTGACATCTTAGGGGGTCTTTTTGCAACCAAAAACTCAGCAGCAGCATCTGGTTTGCCCACAGCATTCGGGAATGGGAAC